TTTTCTTCTCTTGTTGTTAAGTTTTTTCCTGCTGTTTCTGCAGGATTATGCTATTTCACTAGTGTGTAATATTTTTAGCCTAGAAATATCACATACAAATCATTCCTTAAAAGGGTAGCATATAGGACATCATTAGGAGCTGCTTTAAGATTCAGTTGATCTTTTTTTCACTTCTGTTTATCTCCAGGGCAGACACCCTTGTGTCTCTCATTTCCCCTATAATCCATAAATCTGTTATTGTGTCCCCTCCTTTAAATGTCATCACCTCCCCTTCCGCATCACTATTCCCTTTTTGTGAAGTTCTGTTATTCAGACAGAGAAGCATGTGTTTCTCTAGGTGTTAGCTCTCAGCTATGCATTTTGGCCCAGAATGTAATCTTTCCTCCTTCCTCCCTCTTTGAAAATGTTACATATTTGAGTTAGGACATGCTCACTCCTTCATTTTGTTACCGGCCAAGCACTGCCATTTTAACCTTTGTATCACAGTTCTCTTTCTGCCTTCCTGGTGCAGCACTGACATCCCTTACTCACTGCCAAGCTGAACGTTACACTCCATCCTCAGCTGGGCAGTAGATTGTGGGTACTAGGTACACCACAGAGGAGAGAGTCTGTGCATAGGTATGTCCTCATTAATGTCTGCTGAGGTGGTGGGAGTGGATATAGGGCTCTGCCCCACTCATTTAGAGAGGCACTGTGTGCATCACTGTGTCTGAGAATGAGGAGTCAAGCCCCAAAGTCTTTAGGAGATAATTACAGGCATTAAGTGCTGATTGTAACAAAGACAAACCAGAGTAGAGCATAAGAAGGAAGATTATCCTGTACTAGGATTTGCACTATAAATTCAGTAAGAATATACCTTGCTTTTCTCTGCTTCCATGCAACCCACCTGCTGAAGAGGTGAACAAGCTTCCTCTTCCTTAGCTGGCATCTAAATGGGTTACAGCTGCTACTGATTTCATTTAGGGCTTAAACCCTTGATGACAGATGCCATGACTTGAGCAGAAGACTTTGATAACTCCTAGCTGGGTATTTGTACATAATATTTCTGCAGCATTCTTATGCAGCAAGGAATATATTTTCAGTTTAATAAGTGTGACACAATCTTTCATCGTGAACATAAATGAGCTGATACTAACATGGTTATGATGGGCATTTCTAAGTGTGCCAACAGGAAGGGAAACCACCAGTATGTTAAGGGAGACAGGTGAAATCAAAAATGACTCAGGATTGGCAAGAAAAGCAACTTTAAGTTCACTTTAAAAAAAAAGAAAGTGGTTCATAACATCAGTGAATGAAAAACCGCTAAATGAATTTCACTATTGATAATAAGCAGGAAACCCAGTGCCTGGGATCATGAGTTTATGCAAATCTGTTATTACTGCAAATTGGCACCCTAAGACCCTGATCATACAACACTTGCACATATGCTTAACTTTATGCACATGAGCAGTCTCATTAATGCCAAAGACTTAGTCGTGCATAAAACTGAGCAAATGCATGAGTGTTTGTAAGACTGGGATTTAAACACAAGGGATAGAAAACAAATTTACTGTATCATCAACAATTATTTCTGAAACCCATCAGAAGCCAAGGTGGTGCCAGAAGTCTGTTTAGTGTAGAAACAGTCAAAAAGTGAGAGGAGTGGGATTTTGAATATCGCTGCCTTTAACTCAATCCATTAGGCCCAATAATGGTGGGCCAAACACAGGAGGAAAGCATCCCTACCCAGATTAAAGTTTAACTGATTATGGATATTGGAGACATAATTTCAAGTCACATTTTATAAGATATACTGGACTACCTTTTAAAACCAGATTTCAAATTTAGTTATTGAAAAGAACTGTTTATAATCAACTTGGATTTGACTAAATTATTCAGTAGTGTCTCGCAAAAGTCTCACAAAATTAATTTAAATGGTGTTAGGTTTATGTGGATTCAGAGCTGACTGCAGCATTCATATAAATAGTTAGAATACAAAGGCTTACATCAGAGGGAGGTGCCTATTGGCACTGCACTGAAAATTAATGTCTTAGAGCTAGTTTTAACAAGTTAGTCTTAGAGCTAGTTTTAACAAGAATATTAAGCTATGCTTCAGAAAACAGAAGAGTTCCCTTACATTATGAAACATGATGAAAAAATGCTTTCTTGGGAATCCAAAAGAGTAAATATAATAAAATTTGAGTACTTACTGGCAAGACAAGAATAAAGAAAGAGCTGTAAAACATCTCTAGAAGTAAAGCTTCTGCCAAATTTAAAGGGATAGCTCTGGAGAAGGAATTCTGGGAAAAGTGCAACCCTGCTTTGAGAAGATGTAAAAATAAGGTCTCTAAGAAAAGTAAGGTCTTGTTATAAACAGAATCAGTCAAAAGCCATATTTATGTTTCGTGGTAATTTCTATCTGCTTTTTAAGCTTTCTCTTGTTCCAGTTTGAAAAAAAAATAATACATTCTCAGCAATCAGTTTTACTGCTACTTTTTGTTGTGGTTTTGTTGTTTGTTGTTTTTTTTTTTTTATTTCATACTTTCTGTTCTTTTCACCTAGTAGGATTGCTGCTGTCAGTTTTGCTGTGTAATAGTAAAGTTGATGGTATTATAGTACTTTCTGTTAGTCACATCTTGCATCTTATTTCAAAGCATCAGTTCTAGGATCTTTTGGTCCTATGCCTGGCTATATATCTGACTCCTGGCAATGTCTGGATATTGCAAGGGACCTTGGTTCTCTATAGGGTTTATTCAGGAGGGTTGTCATGGAGATAGAGAGTCTGAAAAAGGCAGTACGGTCCTTCATGGAGCTGCAGTCTATATGGACAAGCTGCCCACAGCAATGGCCATGAGGGCTGAGCTGGCAGGGAGCCAGGCAACTTGTGAAAATGCTTTAGCACATTTGCACTTGATATTTTGGTTGTGGTTAAATGGAGTACTGATGCATTGATGACCAGCTGTTTTCAAGTCTGCATACATCTTAAAGGCTTAATTTTATATAAAAATAGCTTTGGGGGATGACTTCAGTGAGGTAGCATCTTCTGTAATATCACAGCACAGTAATGCTTTGTCCCCTGCATGTACAAGAGCAAAGTGGAAGGAGTAACACATGCTGGAACAGGTTGCTGGCCAGGAGCCCTCCTCCCACTAGCTCTTTTCCCAAGGGAAATAAAGTTTGAGCTTTCTTCCCAAGTTAAATTTTTGCCTTTTTGTCTCTTCTATAAAGGCTTCAAAGAGGGAGGTAGGACTTCTCCTGTGACTAACTGGCATCTGGCAAGAGTGTGATTCTGAGCTGGGCTTTAAGGAACTATTGTGACAAAGATAAAAAAGGTAGATATAAAAGTGGTACTATTGGTGAGAAAAGTGATGCTGGAGGTGTATCATCTGGTGGAACCAGACCCAAAAATACTTGTTCATTCTGCCTAACATCACCACGTGCAACATTGCTTTGTATGGCTGGTCAATAAGATGCACAAGTTTGCAGATTCCTGGCTTCAGGGTACCACCGTGTTCTGAGTTGAAGGACTATGACAAATGGAGAGTGGAGGAAAGTCTGAAATACATTTTAACAGTAATGATGGTATTTTCAATGCCTACATGCTTCATTCTACAGCTCTGACAGACTGAACCTTCCAAAGGTTGTGATGCTAATTGACTCCTAAATGTTGTGGGTTTTTTGAAATAGACTTCAAATTCTTTGAGGAAATAATTATTTCAGAATAAACCAGTCTTTCTTAATCCAGACCTTATTTATTATATTCTGAAGCACACCTTGAAATGCAACACTGAACACAATTTCCCTTTGATTGGTTTAATGGAAACAATTTCTCTCTTCAGCAAGCACTTGCTTTCAGAGTGAAACCTTAACATTTTATTTTTTATCTGTCTTGTCAATCATTGTTTGTTTTCTTTCTTCTTGTTGGCCCCACCTGGAGATGTCACATACTTCTCAAAAGCATGTAATATGAAAAAATGCTGAACAAGTTCTTATTTTTCAAACCAGCCAATTATTTACCAGTTGATCTAACAAGTACATAAAATTTATTTTTGGAAAAACAGTTTATGCAGCTAATGCATGGCACCTGTGTGCAAGTTTGCTTAACAAAATCATAACTAATGGCCAACTGTAATTTTTCTGATTTGATATTTCATATCATAGACTCATAGAACAACACAGACTGGAAAGGACCTCAGAGAGTCCCTGCTCAAAGCAGGGTCAGGTATGAGATCAGATTGCTAAGGGCTCTACCCTATCATCTTAAAAACCTCTAAAGATTTTAACACAACCACACAACCTCTGTGGGTAACCATTTCCAATGCTTAACTCTTCTCACAGTGAAAAGATTTTTTCTCATATCTTGCTGAAACCCTTCTTCCAATTGATGCCCATTATCTCTCCTCCTCTCTCTCTCTGGGTTGGGGCTTGTGTTATTAAGGACTGTGACAAATAAAACCTTTTATTTCTTGTCAGTATTTCTGCATGCATTAGGGAGGACAATTACAATACCCTTCAGGCTTTAAGGCAATGAATCTAAACAAGTTGTTTTCTTTTCCTGCTCCTTATGTGTTGTATTAAAAGACGAAAACTCATCCTTGCATGTAAAGAAAACAGTTTCAATGAAGATCTGCTCCAGAGACTGGAAAAACCAGTTTTCCTATAAAGGACGTCCTTACATTAAGATGTCTATTGTAACTTAAACAATTTATGATATATTTTCTTTTCCAGGAATGTTTTCAATCTTACTGAGCATGCTGAAATCATTATGTAGTTAGTAGAGATGCTTCTTTGTCCAGTCAGATTTAGTATAGTTACATTTCTGCAGGAGATTAAAAATGATGTATTAGTAGCTATCCTTCTAAAAATACTCTTTTAAGTAATATGTACCTGTATCTTCCCAAACCTGGAAGAACATACACAAGAACAAAGGAGATAATACAGCAAACAATTCAGGGCAAATAATTATAACCATGAGAACTTACACCAGTGTATTTATTTAAATAAAGGGAAATGTCAAAATGTGCAAGCTAAGAACATGAGTTTATTCACATATTTTACATTCAAAGGACCAACAGATTTTTTTTTTCCCCCAAGAAAAAGAGCTTTTCTTGTGGTTTCCAAAGTTTTGTCAGAGACATGGAATATACTTAATGAAGCATATCACTGCAGTGCATAGAGTGAAAGCCTTGTGTGTAGAGAAAAAGATAAAAACCAACCAAACAAATTAGACCATTGCCAACAAAAGGTTTCCTTTAATATAAATAAATCTCAGAGTAATGCTTTATTTTAACAGACAACACAACAGTGGGATTTATTAAAAACTACATATTTACAGTGCCTCACAGGTAAAAACACTGGGCTTCATCTGAGATCCTAGACACTTCCTGAGAAGGCAATGTGGATTGAGGATTGCTCAGCACTTCAAATACACAAGCTAGGTGCTAAAAGGGTGAAATTAAAGCATACTTTTAAAGTAAGTCAGATGGGAAAGGTGGAACCGCTGATGCATCATATCTATGCCCTGATCTGGAAAAACCTGCACCTCAATTACTCTGTTTGTATTTCAGTAGATCTATGGATGCTCCCAAGGTTAAACACAGGATAAGTGTTTCAAAACCAGGAGCCTCAGAGGAAGACAACTGCTTGACTCAAAGATTCTGTGAATAAACTGCTGTAGTTACAATTTTATGTGGTATGGAGGCACACACCACTGAATTTAAATCTGCATTCTTCTGCATGGGTGATTACTACCACTTTTAATTTGATGCTACAAGGTCTGGATTCCAAATATCAAGTGACGAACTTATGAAAGCATCTTCTTCCCACAGCCTCCAAAATCATTGTGCCAGTTTAGCAGATCTCAGTCTTTTTGGCAATTAAATAAAACAAGAACCAGATCTTTTTCAAAGTATTCACAAAACAATCTTTCACTTATAAAATGGCTGTCCCACCATTCTTGTATCAGATCTGACCTCAGCTCTTAAGATCTAAACAGTTCTTTAAAAGTTATAAAAATAAAGAATTGATTAATATACAAATATATATTTCAGAGTGATAAGAGAATAATATTAAACAAATTCTTTCTTTAATCTACTTTAAATTAAAAGAAATGTTTTCAAAAGTCTGGCCTGAAGCTGATCTTTATCTATTGATTCTTTAATGGAACCCATTCCCTGCAGATGACCACATACAACTTAAATGTAAGAAGATCATTGTTACAAAAAAATACAGTGAACATGTTTCACTAACAAGGCAATTCATAAAATCTGCTGTGCCAGTTAGATTTTGGTATCTTGTTTTCAAAAACTGCAGATATTTCTAATATGAGAAACAAAACCTGAAAGTCATGAAAAATCTTGATATTCTTCAGAAATTTGCTTTTTTTCCCCCAGCCTTCATTAATATTTATTTTGCAATAATTGAGTTTGGTTTGTATACCGTTTGTATTCAGCATAATATAAATGCTTTGCATTAATGCACACATATGTACAAAACCAGTCAGTAATTCAATTAAGAGATATGCCTGCTCACTGTATCATTTCGTACTTTCACAATAACACATTCTTTCCATAATATCCATAACAACATCATCTAGCTTGCTTCCTTCTTCCACTGAAATGCTCGTGCATATTTTTCTTCCGTTTATCTCAAGCAGCCGAAACAGCAAGGAACGTTTTTGAACAACCTATAATATTCTTCCTGAATCTGAAATAAAAATGTTGCATTAAAATATGGGATTAATTGTTTATTATTATATATTTATTAATACTTCTATATGTCTTTCAAATAATTTTGTACTGCTCCTTTCACTAGATGTCTTAAGGTAGGGTTGGTTTTGGCCTTAGGACAGAATGGAGGAAGTGTTATCACAGAATAGCGTGGGTGAATCCTGCTGTTCACTGGAAAGGCTGGAAGTGAGTGCTTTTGCACACACTGCATTATTTCACTGGGTTAATGACACTATAACCAGTTTTATAATTAAAAAAGAAAACCAAAACACTTTTTTTCAAATTTCATATATTGGTTTTAAAACTGGGGAGAAATATGTGAGAAGGTAAAAGTTAATCAGAGATTTGTCTCCACTGAAAGTGTAGGAGAATTTCACATTTTCTCTCCTCTCCCCCATTAATGGCACAAGGATTTCCTTGTTGTACCACAACTCCACTTCAGGACTGGGGAGCTGCATCTGTAGGTACACGAGACTGTCTGAGTGGCCTCCCACAAAGAATGGGACACTTACCTTCCTAGATAACACACAAAGAAATATGAAAATGAACATCCCCTGGAATGCATTGAAGATTGTAAAAAGATATGCTGTAACTACGGATCCCTGGACAACATGGAGGACTCCAAAGATCCACGTAGCCCCAAGGAGGAACAGGAGAGCAAGAGCACCTCGGGCACAGGATCTAGACAGGAAGGAAGCATTGTGAACAACATGTGGGCAAGCGCTATTTTCCTTCTTTTACCTCTTTGGAAGGTAAATGCTGCCTAGGCAATTTTTTCACATCTGCAAAGTCCTGAGAAATGCAAATACACGGGCTGTTCTTTGGGGTGTGCTGTAGCATCGTGGCACGAGTAAGCTCGCATAATCACTGCTGAAGAGCAGAGTAGAACTGGAGGGCCCTAAAACACTGGCTTCTTTAATCTTCAGATACGTTTTCTCTGGTGTACTGCAGCACCATATGATTCGATTTAAATCTATTGTTAGTGTAATACCCCAAGGAAAAACATATGTCTGTTATGAAGCATTCCCCCCTTTTTCCTCCTCCTCCTCATCTTCCTCAAAAAATAACCCAGAAAATTGTACAGTATGCTCTTAGGTCAGTACATGTGCATGACATCAAAAGGTTACCAGGCTGCCTCTCAGGTTCACTGCAGAAGACGGTGCCAGCTGTAAAACTAGACTTACTTTCTTTCATTCTTTCTCTTAAAAAAAAATTGTTTTTGCTCACAGACTTGAGCAAATTACAGCATGTTGTCTTGGAAATGAAGCCACTGATTTCTTTCTTATACACTCTCAGACCAGTCCTTGCAGGACTTCCATTGAACAACAGACATTTTTAGCATTGTTCATCTGAAAATGAATAATTTTCAACTTCGTTAAAACCAGGTCACCACATGAAGCTACAAAGGGTGAAGAATACGAAAAAGTAATCAATCAAACAATTGCTAAATCCTAACTATAAATCTAGTGCAATGCATTGAAACTGCAGGAGTGTTCCTAAGCAACACAAACAGTAAGTTGTTTTCAATGTTCCCTGTAGTACACTTCAGCTTTTCCTGCACAAACGGTCTTCAAGGTCCTTGTAAATCAGTTTTAAAGAGACTGAGCTGATGGAAAAATCATAGCAGCATGCAAAGTAAAAATCCTGGAGAGAATCCTGCCATACCCCCTAGCACCACAGAAGTACAATGTCTTACTGTGGACTTTTTACAAACAACATGAATGGTTTGATTGTCTTTTCACTAAATTACTTGTTAATTCAAGGCAAATATTTTTATCCCAATTCAGGCATAAGGTTTGAAATCTTTTTTGGCTTGCATAGAGGCTGTGGAAAGTAATTAAGAAAAAAAAGGACAATTACTTCTTTAACCTTGCCATATGTCTTTACCCTCTGTTTGATAAGGGCCACTTGTATTCCTTGTACACCTCTCACACAATCCCAGAGTTACTGTACAAGGTACTGCTCTGTGGGAATAAAGATTGCAAAATATACCTTTTAACAGAAAAAGAAATGATCTTTCTTTTTCTACAAATCCTCCAGAAGATTAAACTGTTATTTTTCAAAGCTTACTCTCATCTCTGGCTGTATTTACTTAGAGAAGATAGAATTTATATTAATCAGCAAACTTACCTTATGTTTTCATAGCAACTAACTTCTGGCTTTAACATTGCAGTGTGCCGAAATACTTTATAAATAATCACTCCGAAAGCCAACAAATTAACCTGCGGTGAGTGAAGAAATGAACTTTTAGTTCAAAACAGGATGCTTTTGAATTTCAGGAACTATTACACATTGAAATTCCTGGGCACTGGAATGGGTTGCACAGGGAAGTTGTGAATTCTCCATCCCTGGCGGTGTTCAGAGCCGGGCTGGACAGAGCCTTGCTTGACATGGTTTAGTGCGAAGTGTCCCTGCCCATGGCAGGGGGGTTGGAACTTGATGATCTTAAGGTCCTTTCCTAACTAACTATTCTATGTTTCTATGAAATGAAACAAATCAGATGAAGTTTCTGTATATTTGAAACCTATAGAATCCAGTGCTGGGAGGAGACACTCTTCTGTTCCACTTCTATGAAGAAAATATAAGCCCTGTAATAAACACTGATCAAACAAGGCTGTAATGCCACCTTATCTCAACAGTATCACTACAAATGGTCTGCAAATGTTTATTGATATTATTGGTAAAACTCTTTGATTTTCTGCTGAGATTATTGTCCTTAACTAGAGATGATGGAAAGGAAAGGAAAGGAAAGGAAAGGAAAAAGGAAAGGAAAAAGGAAAGGAAAAAGGAAAGGAAAAAGGAAAGGAAAAAGGAAAGGAAAAAGGAAAGGAAAAAGGAAAGGAAAAAGGAAAGGAAAAAGGAAAGGAAAGGAAAGGAAAGGAAAGGAAAGGAAAGGAAAGGAAAGGAAAGGAAAGGAAAAAAAAAGGAAAGGAAAAAAGAAAGGAAAAAGGAAAAGAAAGCAGAAAGGAAGGGAAAGGAAAAAAGAAAAAAGTAAAAGGAGAAAGGAAAGGAAAGGAAAGCAGAAAGGAAGGGAAAGGAAAAAAGAAAAAAGAAAAAAAAAGTAAAAGGAGAAAGGAAAGGAAAGGAAAGGAAAGGAAAAAGGGAAAAGGAAAAAAGGAAAAGGGAAAAGGAAAAAGGGAAAAGGAAAAGGGAAAGGAAAAAGGGAAATTGAGAAAACAAAAAAGCCCCTCCTCCCTATGGATTTTCTATTACACAGTATTGTGTAGAGCTTGACAAAATGTATGTCTTTTGTTGCTGAATAACATCATATGTTCTGAGGTCTTTGGGGTGTGAAAACTTTCAAGTGGCACAAAAAAACTTTGAGGTTTACACAAAGAATTTTTTAAGAACTAACTTTGGTTGAAAGGCTTCTTGCTGTGTATTCTCTCTTATATTTTATGTTTGTTTCATAGGTGAATAATTTCAGTTTTTTTTTCCTGCCTTCTTTGAAATGGCATTATTTTATTTCAGTTTGAAATAGAAAAAAGCCACTAAAAACCACAGTTTTGCAAATGATGCTCAATTATAGTTCTGAACCTCTGTTTGCCCAGCTAGGCTTCATTGATCTTTCATTTGAATTTATACTGCATTCATTTAACAGTGTGGATGGCTTTGCTTTCTTGCTTAAAAAAAAAAAAAAAAGAAATCTTACTCTGCTTTGCAGCGTTTAACATCAGACTCTATTAAAAATGTTAGTAAATGAACCAAATTTTAGCTGGATGTCATCCAGATGCTATTTGTAGATCCTTGGTTGTAATCCCTTGGTTGGTTCCTGTGGGCTTCCAGCTGTAGACTGAATAGAATTAATGCCTTCCCCAACTTGTTTCTCCAGAAATACTGTGTGGTTTTCCTCCCTCCTTCTTTAAAAAAAACCAACCCTGAACCCTCTGAAATGAAAACAAAAGGCTGATGTAGGAGCACAGCATCACTTTAAAAGGAATCATTTTCATTTGTTAACACTTATGTATGTCCTCAGAATATTTTTGTTGCGTCAAGGGGGGAGTATGTGATATTAAATGCAGGCTCTGCTTTAATTAGCTGCATGCTCATACTTTAATACAGCATAATGTATTTACAATTTGATAAGACAGGAGATAGAGCTGATTAGCAGTTTAGGGAATTAATCCACTGAATACCTTGTACTCGCACTGATCGTGAGAGCTATTCTGAAGCTCCTTATATTTAAAATTGTAATCTATAATATCTCCTAAACCAGCAATTTTTCAAAGTTAATTATAAGTCAGTCAGCAGTTGTGGGTAATTATATGCAGACTTAGATTTTATCTTATATTTGTTGGTGAATAATATATCAAACAATTTAGTGCACACACTGTAATCTGCATAACCTACCTAATGTATTTACTAATCTGAAAAAGGTAGGGTGAAATGTGACCAGAGTACCATGAGCATGGAGAATACACACAGCTACAGAAAAGAGCTATCCAGATCACAGCACAAACCACACGACCAAACTTCCTCTCTGGTGGCCTGTCATCAAAATCACGAATGTCAATGAGAGCCTTCTTTTTGCCATTAATAGGTTCTGTAAGAAGTTTTATGGGCCAAAACTCCTTATCTTTTGGCCACATAAACCAGCTGCAGAACTGGAGATGCTCTCCTGAGCATGGGATTGAGCATGAGCAAGGATGGGGGGAGGCTGAGGGGCAGATATGGGGCCTTGTGGCAGCAAACTCTATTTCTCTTAGTCCTAGTGGGGCTCCTTTACACAAATACTATTTACTCTATGCGTTGCACAGAATAATAGGATTTGGGCCTCTGCATTAAAGTAATACCCATTAACTACAATCTTTTCATTCATCAGCCCATTCTAATGGGAATAACCTGTACCAGGGGAATGGGAGAGGTTAACACTGGCTTCTCGAAGTTAGCTGCCAGAACACAATTATAGTACAATACGTCTCAGGTAGCCTCGCAGGAGGTAGTGTTACAGGGTAATGAGGGTGAGCTTAACTTCTGAAATACCCAGTCATTTCTAAGATTTATTAAAGCCTTAAGTTGTTTTTTTGCCCCATTTTGAAGCACTCCATCAATAAAAAATATCTATAGCAAAGTGCACAGACTGCCTTTACACAATGTTCAGTGTCTCAAAACAGTAGCTTTTAGGCTACATAGTGTGCTTGTTTTTATTTATTTTTAACCTAAGTTAGAGACCTCTGGAACAGCATTTTGTCCTTATGGGACAATACAGGTAACAACAAGTAATTGCAATTGTTCAGTGACACAGAAATGCAGCAAAATTTGAGGGAAAACAGTAACATGAACTCATGGGTAAATCCAGGACAAAAAACTAGCTAATGATAATGTGCCAAGTGTGGCCTTTAGAGAAAACTGGGAATCCAACAGGAATCCTAAGCTGAACATATTTTGCTTCAACCTGATACTCTACATGTTCTTTGCCTCAGCTATTTCTGGGAAATGTAGAGTAAAAAATTCACACTGGATGGCTGAACTGAGTAGGAATACTGAGAAGTTGGACTAAAGTAAGGGGAAATGGCATTTATATAACTAATATCCTCAAAGAGCCATACATGTTTCAACAAATGGCATGGAAAATCAAATCACCCAAAATTCCCAGATAAAGAAACAGCCACTTAAGACATTTGAATTTGTATCCAAACCTGAACTTCAAATGAGCAGAAATGGACTTAGTAGGCTGTAAAAGTCATCAAAATATAGATAGGCACAAGGAACCCTGGATCCCCTAATCTTCTAGCTGGGCCAGACTGAGGGGCTTCTGGATGAGAGGCACTGAAACATCTAAAAAAGCTTCAGCTGCTACTTATAGCCAAATACTGTTTTATACTTCCTTTGGTTGTAATCGCGTGTTTTCATTTTTGTAATTAAAGCACAATCTTCAGATCTTGTTGAATAAACCTTCAACGATGCTATAATTAAGGCTGCCTTAAGGTGACAAGCAAGGTGAATGAGAATGAAATGGCAAACATAAGGCACGCTGTCTCCAGAGAGGCAGTAAGTTGGAGTGGAGCAATATGTGCAGGCAACTGTGAAAACAAGCTCAGGATGGGCTTTGTACAGGCCTGGAAAGGGCCAGCCTGGGGACTGCTGCTGCCACATGCCGGCTTTGGGGAGAAGTTACCTGCATAATGAGCAGAGATACTCCACAGCTTTGGGTAAACCCAAAGCGTGAAATGTTGTGTCAGGGCCACAGTTTTATCAACTGAATAATGACATTACAGTGTGACATGGCAAGTTCCTGTGCCTTTGTTTTCAGTGGTATTACATGGCTGAGGAGTCAGAGAAACTGCTGCAAGTCCTGAGAGGGGCTTCTCAGCAAGTCTAATAGGCTAAAGGGGAATTGCACTGATTCTAAGCCCAGAACTGAATTCGTTTTTTTCTCTTATTTTATTGAACAAGCCACCCCAAACTTCTACTGGGCAAACAGCACACTCAGTCCTTACTATTTCACAAAGGAAACCTCCGACTTTCTCCCTGCAAGCCCAATTTTGTGAGGTGCTGAGCATCCTCAGCCCTCCCTCCCCCTGAGATTCAGTGGGAATCAGGTTTCACTCAGCACGCTCAGGTGCACTACAGGACTAATTTTAATAATTAATCTATTCCCCCCCTTTTTTTTTCTTTTTTAAGTGGTTAATCAAAGACAAGGGCTGATATAGGAACAGTCTCCACTCATAACATCTCCAGGGAATCATTTCTCCATAAAGATATTTGTAAAAGTGTTTTTAGCTTTCTTAAATTCTGGAAATGTTGTGGTATATTTATGAGCAAATGGTAGAAAACTGTGAAATAGACATTGAATAAGGGCAGTTATTATGATCCCATGAAATCAGGATTCTCGAGATAGGGGCATCTACATTTATGTATCTGTGTAACCCAGAGTAATCTCCAAGGAGCCACAAATCTGGATGAGCTAGGTTTTATTCTACACCTGTGACTGAGTTGAAAGGGAAGATGGTAAGTGGCACATCTCTCTTGGGGAGATCACCTTTGTGAAGGGTCACAAGGATTTAGGATTTAGGAGTGACTTCTGGCTCTGTTAAACCAGTTGCAGGACTCCTGTTAAAAAGAGTCCTGTCAAGGCTTTACAGATCACAGAGAGTGGCATTCTCAAGGGATTTGCAGGCAACAGTGGACCTTGCTCTGGATATCACTCTGCAGATTAGCACTTGCATGTGTAATGGATGCACATTGCGGTCTAGAGCAGGTTAGTGAAATTTTCCTGTGG